TTATTGGTGTTCTTTGGATTTTAAATCTTATTAAAAATATTAATTTTCGCATGATTTCCGGTTTCTGTTATGATTATTACAACCGACTGAAAACTTCTCTGGAATATTGTGACGGAATTTGTATCACGGAACTGGCGAGTTTTCAGGAACTAGCGTGCCATCGTAACTACTACGACGTGTTTCAGCATTTGTCAGCGTCAACTATTCGTTACACAGGGAAACTGCTTATCGTTCTTCGTCCTTGAATCCTTTCAATGTTAGCAAAGGTAAACGCTACTGTCAACATCAATTGGTTCCACATAGGATAGGACTTCATATCAAATAGCCTGATCATGTGGCTTACATCGCTTGCGCCGTGTACTACTCACTTGAGGAATAGCATCAGAATGCTTGAAAACTGGTATTTTGAAGTTTCCTCGTCCTGTTATTTCCTCCTATCCAGAAAGCATCAACAGTTAGGCATTAGAATTTGTATTTATGTAAAGCCGATTAAAGGTGGTATGGTATATGACGATTGTATTCGAGTGGATTTGCAATTAACCCTTTGCACTCGAGAGGTGACTCCCGGTGACCACTTGATGCCATAATTCTCGATCACCACTCGGTTTGACGCGACAGTTTGAGCGGTAACGATGTCTATTTAGGTTTGATTGGACAACTCCGCTTCATGACTGTACATGCTTTTGAAATATTAGAAAGCCCGGCGGTCATACGAAATGACCGCTGTTCTAGATATTATAAATTATAATTAAAATCATTTGTGCAAAGGTGTCTGCTAATTTAAACTGAATTACCCAGGGCAGGCGGCGAGGAGCCCCTTTGCTTACTGCTCCACGGGGTTTTCCCCTTCTACTTGCATAATTGCTTAAAGTAGAGTGCAATGAAGGTAACCACTGGTGGTACATTTCTTAAGAGCCACCGCTAGCTCAATTATTATTATTATTATTATTATTATTATTATTATTATTATTATTATTATACACCAGAGAACAGGGGCTCCGTTGCCTTGCAGTCTAGCAGACTGCCTTACACGGATTAAAGCCTCTGCCTCCGGAAGCTATCTGCTATCCGCTCCACCACAACCGTGATGGGTGGCAGGTCAGACGGCAGTTACTGTGTCGTAAAACAAAGAGATACACGGGCAAACAAGTCCAGTGTGCAACAGAGGTTTCAATACATAGTCTGGATTTACAATTTTTTCTTCTAATACATACGTCATACATTTATCACAGCTTATTTACAATCAGTCCTTTGCGACGTACTTCAGCCATTAATATTGATTTCAGACATGCAATTTTACAGAGTTCTATAAAACTTCCTGTGACCAGAGTTACAATTACTGTTTTAGAAAAAAAAAAATAGTCTGCATAAACATACATCTTAGATATACAATTATAAGACATTTCTTATTCAGACAATTAAATACAATTTAACATTAGAATCTTAGGGATACAAGGAAAACATTGGTACACCAGTCAATTTTAAGATAGGACGTAGAGTTTTAATTCTAAAAACCTCTAAGTGCATTTTACCGTAAGATAGCAGAATTATGTTAGATTTACAACATACCATAAGCAAAGTTCCTATTATCCATTACTATTAACTTCTTTAACATATCAATACTTGAATACTGTTGTTGCAATTTAAACCAAGAGTACCAATTAGTTACATGAGAACTATACACCAGAATATTTTTTATATTTTAGTACATATTTTACCAAAGTGATTTAAATAATAAAATGTTAATTCACATGTCAAAGATCTCTTTATGCACAACATTTCTTTCCATCATTTTTAAGCTCGCCTTGCAGAGGACCATCCATTATTTTTAATTTTACGTTCCATCTTTCATGAACTCTTGAACAGGCAACATAAAGTTGACCGTGTCCAAATGCAGGCTCAGGTAAAAAGTGCCAACACGCTTAAGCGTTTGGCAATGAGACTTATTGATGGTCATAGCAAAGGCAAGTTTTACAGGAAATTGTCTACGTCTCAATTGAAACGGCAACCCTTTGCTGTGGCAACTTCACCCCATTGGCTAGTACAGTCACGCAAGCAACCAATAAACTATCGGCGACAAACAGACACTTAAGCCGCATATATATATGAGGTGAAGTAACATCATCTCCTCCGAAACGGCTGGCTTCCGGGCTTAGCGAAGTACACCGTTGGATTCCGCAGGTCAGTGGCAGGCCATTTTGACCATTGTTTTCTTAGGACTTTAATTAGCTGAGATATTAATTAAAAACTAATTTTTCCCTACTTTTGCCCTACATTTTCCACTTTCTTTTCTTGGGTATTTCCTATTAGAGGGATTTGGCTACGTGCCAAAGTCTTTTTTCTCGAATATCAACGGAATGGCACCGAGTTGAAATTCGAGACGAGTATCCTCGGATTCCAAAAAATTCTCCGAATCCATCGATACCGTTCTCATCTTCGTACGACTTTAATCGGCCGAGTATTAATTAAAAACTGCGGAAACGTTAATTTCCGCGCTCATTTTTCCGAGTGGCAACAATAAACTATCGGCGACACACACTTTAGCCACTTATATATATAAAAAGAAAATATAATACATGCAACAATACACACGTATAAAATAACCGCCACTCTTTAATCTTAAATATGTTTTTTAGATTTACTGTTATAAATGCGTCTTCGACGCTAGTTCGAACTCAATAGTCATGGCAATATGAATGTAATTTACATTAACTTAAGTTACGCAGCCCAGTAAGCACGGAAGATGAAGGAATCAGTTTAAGTGAAGATGAGTTCAGTTTTTCTTTGAAGAAGAACAAACTGCGTCTATAATTAGACTACTTGACGATAGAGAGGAGGAGAACAGCTATGAAGTAAGAGGTTGTAAGAAGACGAAAACTCAGGGTAATAGTGAATGTGAAAGCAGCAGTGATTTCGCAGAAGAGACAGAAAATTCTGAATGCATAGCTTGCACAAAGTCCCAAGAAATACCGCAAAGAATGCCGTTTGTCTCTGACGAAAGAGCCGAAGGACCGCAAGTATCTTCAGAGATAAAAAAAATCATTGGATTTCTGTGACATCATTTTAAGTTAGCTGAAGAAATTAACCAGATATGAAGAAAATCGAATTCCTGGTTCGCCCGAGCGAAAAAGGCCTCGAGTGCAAAGGGTTAAGGAAACATTTACGAGGATTGCTTACCTAAGGACTTTGAACCTTCCTTAAGCGAACTTTCTAATGAAAATGGCTGTTATGTGTATCATACATAAGAAAAGCTATGAAAATTTTGCGCAGCCAATCCGTTCTCAAGGATTTAACCCCAGATCTAAGAGATTAACCCCAGATCCAGATTACTATTCAGCTGTCTTATCCAGTTGACCACTGGTGGGCAATTAATAAGCGATTTTAATATGAATTGTTCAACACTTTCTTTGTAATGTCAGGGAAAAGAAGTGGAAGGGCTAAAATTTCAGTTCTTTCACTACCAATGAATGATATCCCAGCAAATTCGTGATACATATACATAGTATCAAATGAATTGAGACGTTTTGTTCCACTAGTCCTCAAAACTACCATTAAGTGAAATTCAGATTTCATTAAATTTGTTCCAATATAATTGAAATACATGGTACAAAGCAAACATTTACATGTAAAACATGGATTGGTAGTGATTGAATTAAATGGTAATTAGATATAATATCCATCAATTTCTTGAGCGGAAAGTTCCCTTACCTTTCGATGATATATTGTATCACAAAGTAGACATTCATGAGTGTGAAAAAGGAGTATATTTATTCACAAGTAGTGTTTCTGGTGTGCTCTGTTTTACTTAACTCATTTGTCACAGATATCTAATTAATCGCCTTTAACTTTCAGAGACAAGCAGGAGACTTGAAAAATGAGCAATGCCCTCACCGTGACTCGAACCACGGGCCTCTCGAATACGCACCGAGCGTGCTGACCACTACACCACGAAGGTATGCTAAGAAGGAGGGAGAAATACCTTGTATATTCCCCCTCTTAAAGGGCGACTGAGGATTAGGGAAGCCAATCGCCAAATCCTGGCGGTGGAGAACCATCATCCACAAGCTTCCTTTTAGTTCGGGCGCCTCTGTAGAGATATTAGGTGATTTGGAAGCAAGAGACTTAAAAAATGAGCAATGCTCTCACCGAGACTCGAACCGCGGACCTCTCGAATACGCGCCGAGCGTGCCGACCACTACACTAAGCATGCTAAGAAGGCGGGAGAAATACCGTATTAAATAATTATATGAAGTACATTTTTATATCAAGTCAGATTGCGAGATTGCATTGGCGTTTTATGCAAAAACTAACTTTTAATACCATCGCATTAGATTTTAATGACATTTTCCTTTGCTGATTCATTAACTGCTGGAATACGCAACCTTAAATGGGATCAACAAATAGATGTGATGATTATCTTTAATTAAAATGGGTTTGAATAGCTTTTACTTAATAAATTGATAATGACGAATCACGCAAGAGATGCCTGTTTTCTCTGACATTTTTTTCTCCATGAGAAAAAAAAAGTAGTCAGTAGAAAGTAAAATTCGTTTTCTTCGAGCTATCAGAAAGTACATTACACATCTCTGGGTTTGCTTTATATTATTACATTTCTGAAGATTCATCTTGGTAATATTCTTAATTGAAAATTGTGGAATAAAAAAAATTTGAAATTTTGAATGTTCAAAGTTTGAAAAATGCTGCATCTTCTAAAAATTTTTGGGTTTCCGCGTTCCATTGAAGTTTTTTTAACGTGCATCGACATGTCATGTCACGGTAATATAGTTACGTATATCTACTGTATCTAAAATATGTCTAGTGCATAGAAAAAAATTAAATGAGATTTACATTTATGTTTCCCTCTTTACTTCAATGTTATGCCAAACATTATTGTTGTATTTTCGCTTTCTGCAGAATTTTTTCTTATTATTTTTAAGCTGTTCAGTAGCTATAGTTTTAATTTCAGGGAAAAGAAAATTATTTTGTTGTGGACAAAATATTTCAGTAAATGGAATTGGTTGCCTTCCACAGATGAGCTTCAGTGTCCGGTCAGGGATTGCTTTGTTACTTCCAATCGTTCTTTCGTAAAGAAAAGCTCCTCGGTGATACTGCATTGGCGGGATATTAATCCACATGATTTGCCAAACTGCAGACCTCCGACACAGAATGGAAAATGTCCGCTGTTGGTTCTGTTCAATAAAGAAGCCCCACCAAACACGCCGAAAGAAACAATTTTCCCGATGAGAGAGAAAATTCATTGGACTGTAACCTACAGAAGGGATTCAGACATATCTTCTCCGTATGGGACCATTGTGGAAAGAACGAATGTTTATAAACCTCCAGGTAATAATGTGAAAATTGTAATCTAATTAAAATCTTATTTTCGGATGCAAATGAGTTTTCAGTAAATTAAAATTTTAAAAATGTAGAATTTATATAGACCATTCAGAACGTAATGGGAGGATAACCCATCACGGCTATTTTGTTGAGCGAATATTGATCGTTTTTGGCTTCAAAATCGTATTTGGCTTCACTCTGAACTTCTAAAAGCGATTGATCAAAATTAGCGTCATTACTTATCACCTATCAGATATCAAACATTATTATACTGCAATGTTTGCTCTTGTCGACCAGAAATCTTTGAGCGTGTCAGGTCACTGACTCTTCATCTGCTTCAAAACTGTGTCTCAGTTTCTTCGGGTTTAGGACTTTTCGACGTCGACATTCCACCGTGGCCGTTTCGCCTTCGGGACGTCTCGTCGTCGGGATGTTTCGCCGTCGAGACGTTTCGCCGTCAAAACATATTTTTCTTTTACAAGAATCGGCTAATTCAGAGAAATCACTCTGCAAGCAGGAAATCGACATTTTTATGAAATCTGAAGGGAAAACGGAATTACTCTGGAATCTTGTCAGCATCTTCCTCTCTTAAAATTAATATGTCATGTGTAATGGTGTATTTGTATAAAACTGTACACAAAAACATTTTATATATTATTTTACATAGACTGTTTATTAAAATAAATTAGATTAAACTAAACAGTGTTATTAATTTAAATCAACTTAATATAATACGGCAAGATATAACCGTGATAAGAAATGTAAGTCGTGTTGTTAGGTTAATTGGAAACAAGAGAGATGAAAAATGTGCAATACCCTCGCCGAGACTCGAACCACGGACCTCTCGAATACGCGTCGAGCGTGCTGACCATTACACTACTAAGGCATGCTAAGAAGGCGGGAGAAATACCTTATATATTCCCCTCTTTTAAATCACGACTGGTGTTTTAAAGGACTCAATCGCCAAATCCTGGTGGTGAAGAGTCATCATTCACCATCTTTTAGTTCGGGCGCCACTGTAGAGACATTAGGTATTTTCGAAGCCGGAGAGATGAGAAATGAGTAACTCCCTCACCGGAAATCGAACCACGGACCTCTCGAATACGAGCCGAGGGTGCAGACCACTACACTACGAAGGCATGCTAAGAAGGCGGGAGAAATACCTTATAAACTTATAAATGGAAAAATGTTTAAAACGATATGATACATTTCATTACAAAGAATTTTAAACTGTAATCAGTCTTTAGACTTTATTGTTTTTTAGATTAATAAAATGAAATTAACAGTACATGCTAAATTAAAAACGATACGGTAGGCTCATTGTAAATAATGTTAAACTCTAATCAGTCCTTAACCTATTTGCTTTTGAAATTAATAAAATTAAATGAATAGTAAATGCTTAGAACTCTATACAGAAGCAAAAAGAATCATGTGACCTAAAGGCTCATAACCCTAACCTAACTAGTTTTCCAACTGAGCTGGGGAATGAGCAGAAGAACCGCTTAAAACTCCTGCTTTAGAATGCAACGAATGTTTATAAATAATGTAAAAAATTGCCGAATTAATGTTTTTTTTTTTTTTTGCCATAATTCTTGTTTTGATAGGGGGCGAAGAGTTTGTTTTATTATCTGTGAAAATTTGATAACTTTATATTCGCTACATTTGTAGATGTTGAAATTTTAAAACAGTGGACTTCAAATTGTCAAAAAAATCGAGCCATTTAAGAAAATTCGCCAGAAATTCAGAAATTAAGTTGCAACTTTTATACAAATTTTATTTAAAAAAATTCCTTTTCCTGCTGTAGCCGATGGCAGAAACTGTAAAATTCTGACATTTTTAGTTTATTCTTTAAACAATGACATCGTTTATAAAAATCATTTAAACATTAAATTAAAAAAAACTATAAATCGAATTTTTAAAAACGTCGCTTCACCACATTGCAGTTTCATCAACAAATAAAATGTATACTAACTCAATAGCTTCTTACGGAGCAGCTTAAAAACCGATGACAAACATTTTACCATAACGGCAAACACTATGAGTGAAATTAAAGCTTATAAAAGAGTAATTCGGAAATGAAATGAGGCTGAGGGGCAAGAAGATCCGTAGTGAGCCTTGAATTAATAATATTCTAGTCAGTAATCCCAGAGGTGGTTCCATGTGACCAGGAAGCGAAGGGAACGCGTTGAGAAAAGATAATCAATGCTGTACAACATTTCAGAGAGGATTAAAATATATAAGAAGGACAATATAACCGCTTAAAAATAATTTTGGTTATTTTTGGGTAACCCTTCATATGTTTAAATAGCTGAAATAGAAATGCAAAAAATTAAGTAAAAAACTGAGTATAAGGAGTTTCAAGTTTTGTTATGTGAATCTTTCGTTTCCATCTACACCAGGGATGTCAAACTCATAGGTACACTTGGGCCAAACAAACAAGGTTTAACTTTAAGCGGGCCGAAAAAAAAAAAAAAAAAAAAAAAAATCAATATTCATAGAAACGTAGATTTATTTCGAATAATACAAAAATAAACATATATATATTTATATAGAAAAGAACAAGAAAAATTTAATGTTTACGTCCTGATACTTGACATCTCTTCTCTGCTATTATCTTTCCTATTTCGGGAGAAACTTTGTTTGCAGTGATAACTTTCAACGCTGACCCAAGGTGAGCATCATTAATACGTTTTCTAATAGGAGACTTATTACCTTTCATGACTGAAAATAACTGCTCGCACCGATAAGTGCTACCAAACATGGAAATAATTTCATATGCGAATTTTCGAGTATTTTCAAACCTGGCTGGTAAATATTTGTAAAATTCAGGCACGCCCACTTCAATGAATTTTGCTTTCAAATTTGAGTTGCATTGAATCTCGATCACCTCCATTTGCATATGGCTGGGTACTGAGTCAATACTTATTGAGAAAATCGAAGAAAAAAAAAAAATTGTCTTCGAGGGAACTAAAATCATTAAACCTCGTTTCAAATTCAGTTGTTAAATTTGCAATTTTTTCTGCGTATTTTTGATACGAACAAGTATCATCTAAACTTGATTTGTTCATGCTGCACGTCGGGAAGTGCGTCAAATCTTCATTTTAAGTTAAGTTTTTTTCCCAAAGAACTAGTTGACATTTGAATGCTTTAATTATGTCAAACATGTTCGTAATGATATGATCTTTTCCTTGTAACGATAAATTTAAATCGGTTAAGTGTTTGGTTATATCAACCAAGAAAGATAAATCTTGTATCCATATTGGATCGTAAAACAAACTTACGTCTTGATTTTTCGTTTTTAAAAACTGACATATTTCTTCTTTCAAATCCCAGAATTGTTTGAGAATCTTGGAGCAAGATAACCAACGTACCTCGGTATAGTAGGACAAACCCGAATATTCACTATCTAACTCACTTAAGAAAGCAGTGAATTGACGCTGATTTAAACCTCGAGATCTTATAAAATTTATAACTTTTTTTATATATGACAAAACATTCTCCATATTTATTACTTTCGTGCATAGAACTTCTTGATGTATAATACAATGCATATGATGAATGTTTGAACCGTGAATTTCACTAAGTTTTTTTCTTAGTAATGCTACGAAGCCCTTGTTTTTCCCGGTCATTGATGGAGCGCCATCTGTAGCTACAGAATTTAATTTTGCCAAAGGTAGATTGTATTTCTGCAGAAGTCCAAAAACACAAGTAAATATATCTTCTCCTGTGGTAGTACCAGGCATCGGTATTAGTTCCAGTAATTCCTCAAAAATGTTAAAATTCTTGTCACAAGAACGAAGAAACACTGCTAATTGAGCTTTGCCACTAATGTCCGTGCTCTCGTCACAGGCAATGGAGAAACTTTCGAAACTAGATGATTTTGCTTTGATCTGATCACTTAAATTCGCGGCTAAATCAGTAACTCTTTCCGCAACTGTATTTCGAGACAATGAAATTGATTGAAAAGCCTTCACATTTCCAGGACAAACAATTTCTCCAGCTTTCATTAGGCATTCCTTGATGAAATCACCGTCAGTAAAAGGCTTCGAATGTTTAGCTATCAACTCGGACAAGACGTAGCTTGCATGTACCGCCGCCGCTTCACTTTCTTGCAATACTTTACTAAACATGGACTGTTGCTTTTTCACTCCTAACTTGAGCTCTTTCAACTTTTCTTCTCTCATTAATCCTTCGTAATTGTTATATTTCGATTTGTGTTGTTCGTAATGACGTTTAATATTATATAACTTTGGTACATTAATAGTATTATTACATATCAAGCAGATTATTTTATCTTTTATTTCACAGCAAAAATATTCTAATTCCCATTTTACTTGGAATATTCTATGTTCGTCAGCGATTTTTCGTTTAATTTTACTACCACTTGGTTTTGATATAGACATACTGAATACAAAGGGCTGGAATAAACACGGTTAACGTTAAAAAGTTAACAAAAATTTATTCTTTCCACAAGAGATAAATCAAAATGCTGAAATATTTCTTCAAAAATATTCTAACAATATCACAAAATGTCAAACGTTTAGCAAAAATCAATTCAAAACAGAGAAACTAATTCTATCTCACAGCGAAATCGCTACAAATCAATCACAGCATTAAGTAAACAAACAGTTCGCTAGAACTACAGCTACTACTGAGATGAGTTGTTTGTTCTCGGCTTTTATAAGCTTTATAATTAATTTCTCGAATATACTGGAAACATCTATAAATATCTGGATTTTTGTGGATGGCAACAGCAATTACGAGATATTTATTTATTAGGTATTAAATGCACGCGCTGTTCTATTTTTTACCTTCCAACGCAGCTGTCTTTTCAAAAATCGTCTGCGTTGCTAAGGCAACATGAAGCAAATCTAATTACAATTCTAAATAAAAAAAACTAAACTAAATAAATAACTATGAAATCCGTAACAATATGAATTAAGTAATAATTAATAATAAAGCAAAGTGCATGCACATGCATGCACCAATATATCGTACAAAACTATGATTGGAAAACTGAGACCATGAGTTCGGCCACATTCGGCTATCGGGGGATGCGTACAAGTTCTGAGTGCACGTGTCCCCCAAAAGCCGAAGGTAGCTGAACGCAAGCTACTCACACGCATTTGTAATTTAAGTAGTGTGTGTGTCAGCTCGCTGTGAGTAATCTAACAACACTGAATAAATTATCGTTAATTACTTAGCAGTAAACATTTCATTTTTTTCTTCGTCGATATGTTATTTTATTATTATATATATTATTTGCCGATATATTGGCGGGCCGCAAAAATATTGTGTGGGCCGCATGCGGCCCGCGGCTGACATCCTCATTTCACACAATATTATATATAGGTCGGTATAAGGGAAACTGCGAAAAGTCCTGGGTTCGAATCCCGGAGAAGGCATGATAGTAACTGTCCGTCCCTTCATAGGAAAGGCGATGATGGCCCACCTATTAGGTGCCTCCATAATAAAGAGACCACCTCATCCGGCCTTGTATAGATTAATGGACTGGGTTACATTTGTAATTGTTCACAATCTGCCATTGAAAAAAAAAAAAAAAAAAAAAGTATATATACATATAAATCAGAAGGCTTTTGGATTTTAAATTACGCCCAAAGGAGCGTTTTTTTTTTTTTTTTTTTTTTTTTTTTTTTTTGTTTAACGTTTTGTGTGTTACCTTAATTTATGAAATATCATGTTCTAAGTACTCAAACCATAAAATTCAATTCAACAGAAATATCGCAAAATAATTTTAATTTCAGCATATCTTTAGAATTTTCGATACACATTTCCGCGCGCTGGAGATAAAAAATGTTTTTTTTTTTTCGTACAGTGTTGCCATTCCTCGCTTTGAAATCGTTGAGTTTATTAATCAAAAATTCTTTAATGTTTGACAAAATATGAAATAGATAATATAACAAATTCCAAATTACGGCTTCCAGATGCCCATATTCGGTGGAGGATAACGTCATTCAAAATCGGATGGCTCTAGGTACCGTTGTTTTATTACAATGCGAGAAACATGCATACATTTATGCAGATGCTTCATTATTAATTTCTTTAAATATATTACAGGGCCGTAATATTTGGTGGCAACAGTTTGAAAAGTGAATCAACGCGAAATGCCAAATCGAAATTAATAGCACTTCTGGTTTAACGTCCTTTGGGCTGAAAAGAGGGGGACAGTTCTATATCTCTCGTTCCCTCCTGGGCGATTAACGAAATTCATTTTGCGTTTTTCATGTCTCCAATTTGCATCTCAGAATATGCTCATGCATAAGATTTATGTACAGTATTGTTCTAACATAGGTATTCTGACACAAAATTTCATATTTCAGAAAAAATAGTAATTTTTTTAGAAAAAAAGTAGCTATTTTTTTCATATTTCGATTCTGCGAATCAAATTATACCACAGCTCCAAGTTTTGTAAAAAATGTAAGATAGATTTTAAAAAATTACCTCTCAAAAGATTAGCTCCTCAGTGTTAATTGAATTTGGTATGTATTTATTAATATCTCTTTTTTCTTATTAAACTTACTTGATTCCTACTTTTACTATTCTATATTAGGTCCATTCCAAATAAAATACGTAGCTATTTTCTGATTTGTTTGGAATTTTTCAGCAATTAGTAGATGTATTTCTAGACACACGTATAAAAAATTAAAGTTCTTTCTTCAAAATTTCTCCGAATATATGTGAATCTATATATATAGGCGTGTTTTGAAATTTGGCATATTTTTAATACAAGCGATAATAACGTAATAATATAAGCGACAATAATGCGAAATGTAGTTTACGCACTTTGTTAAATTTTTTTCAAAGAGTGAACGATGCACTTTTTTTCCCGCTTGTAGACAGTGAAATGAAAAGGAAAATAGACTGTACGAATTAAGAATTTCGCAAAGTAAATTATTCTTGGTGCAAATTGAAACAAATGCGCCAAGATAAATATTTAAATTTTCGGTCAGTTTCTCACCAAATTTTACAAAATTTAACATATAGGCATAATTTGGGTAGTAAAATAGAAATGTAAAAAAAAAAAAAAAAAAATTGACATTTCAGAAAAAATCCAATTTTGTGTCAAAATACTTATATTAGAACAATGCTATACACATATCTCTAATAAATATCCTAAGTCGCTCATTCGAGACATGAAAAATGCAAATTACATTTCGTCGATCGGCCCAGTAGAATGGAAGATGTGGAATTGTCCTATTGTTTTTTTTTGGGGGGGCAGAGTGTACATTAAACTAATCTATAAATTTAAATAATTTTATCAGGTATCTCAATATTTATTTTTTTTTTTCTTCTTTAGAAATTAATCCCAACCGCAATCTGGTATGCTGGCTAGTGAGCAACTGCAAAACACCAAGTCAAAGAGAAATCTACGTCAGAGAACTTACAAAGTATGTTAAAGTGGATATTTATGGAAAATGCAGTAAGAAGGTGTGTCCAATGCAAAAAGTTATAGATTGCTATAAGTGGTTATCGAAAAAATGCAAATTTTATCTGTCTTTCGAAAACTCGATCTGCGAAGATTACATCACAGAGAAACTGTTCTATGCATTATTGACAGACATGGTTCCTATTGTTAGGGGAGGTGCGAATTATTCTGAATTGTTGCCTTCTCATTCCTTCATCGATGTAAAAGAATTTTCTACTCCAAAAGATCTTGCCGAAAGGTTAATTATTCTCAATAATGACGAAGAACAATATATGTCATATTTCCGATGGAAGGAACACTATGAGGTAAAGAATGTTTCATACATATGGCTGTGCGAACTTTGTGAAAAATTACACAGTATTTCAGATAAATATATTGAGCCTAACAAAGAAATATCTTCGTGGTGGTTTAGCAAATCCAGTTGCATGTACAAATTGCAAAGTGATTCTGTGCTTTCTTGATGTCATTTGGTACTTCCAAAATGTAATTTTGTTATTTCAGTAATATTTAAAATTTTATTTTTTTTTGGATGTCATAAAGACTATGAATGCGAAAAAACATCAAAATTTATTTGTTCATCATTGTATATCCAATTATATGCATTTGTGAACGTAATTTTCTATTTCAGTAATGTTATTTCAACTGCTTACGTACACGTGTCTAATATTTAAGACTAAGCTCCAAAACTACACCCACAGGATCCTGTGAAATAACTTGTTGTGATCTACATAGTTAAAAAAATATCAGGGTAGTAGAAACCAACTACATCTTTTGGCAGAAACGTTTCAGGACGAAGATAGCAAAACATAGAACATTGCATTTACCAAATAATGATCCTAGCTGCTATCAAAGTTGTTCCCTTGGCTGCATATACACAGCTGCCAACGTATCTGGAGGTCACGGAAGCAAGCAGGGAAATCTTCAACTGCGATGCTTACAAACTCATTTGTCACAGCCCGTTGAATGTCTCCAATAATCTTCATGAAGCTTTCCTTTCAGTCACCTTTTCACCCACGGAAATAAGAAAAAATCACAATAATATTTGACACAAATGTGGGATTAGCTCTGGCTCTATCCAATAGTTTAGCAGAAATTCTTCGTCTTTCCTCTTTCTGTTCATCTGTTAGTGAGTGAGGGATGATTCATGCATTAAGTTTCCGTTTTCCTAAATCTTCGCGTAAAGTCTTATGACACACATCACGATTAAAATTCAGTTCTTCTGATATCATACGCACAGTGACACGATAGTCTTCTTGCAATAAGTGCCTTACACGCTCCACGTTTGCATCGGTATGTGCTATAGACGGGAGACCAGCTCTGGGATCGTCTCGCACTGAATCTGTGCCTTCACGAAACCTTTTGTGCCACTCTAAAACACCACTTCTTGAAAGTGCCTCTCCTGCATTTGTTTGTTTAATCATATTCCACGTTTCACTGCGAGTTTTCCCAAGCTTAACGCAGAACTTAATGTTCACTCTTTGCTCGCAATCAGCATTCACTGTGTCACTTTAACGAATGCGACAACAATCAGAACAGTGTTGCTAGGCACAGCCCTGCCACCTAGTTAAGTTTGCGTGGAAGTAAAACTATCCTGGAACTTTTCTGACAAAGGATGTACTAAACCAATTTCCATTGCATTTAGGGGTTCTTATTAGCTCGAAAGCAAATGGAAAGGAAGTTAACACTACTGAACTAGTTGTATTACTATTGAATTAACGCTACTGACCATCTACTAGAAATTTTAATTGGTAAAGAATAAATCTTAAAGCGGGAAATTTTCGTTATTTGCAAGTTTTCATCCTTGAACAAGGCCTCAAAATATATATATATCAGTAAAGTTCTGGAACCTCACTTGTCGTCTTAAAGCTTAGGGTGGAATATCGACATCTGGAAAGTATTCCAGGTGATTTACACCAGGCTTGTTTGTTTCTACGATTGTACGAGAATGATGTTTAGTGTAAACAACTAAAGACAGTCGACTTTATATTGATAGCTGGTTGGCATATATTCTGCTTTGTCCTACATGGACAAGAATAATCCTCCAAACTGTGACTTACATGTGAGTAATACAGGCCTATGGGCTAGGATACCGATTGTGTGTGTGGTACTAATCCAAGAGAGCACGGTAGGAAGTATTTGAACAGGTATGAAGTCCACCGACATAGCAGTAAGACGATGTAGCAGTGGGCCAATGTCCGATGAGAATCAATTCAATCTGCAGTAAGATTACAGAAGTGAATTCAACTGGCACGAAAGAAATAAAGCTGGAGAATGGCAATGGCGTCTGAATGACGGCATGGTGTGGCATCGTGGTTGTTAGAGGTACTGAATTAGAGATATTGGCAATAGTTGTCTAACGATCAATAATTATTGTAGGCAAGTTACTGAATGCCATGGTTCATTTGTTCTGTTGTGCCATCAGTGAAGTATTTTTTCTTGGCCATACTGCCCCGTTACATCGAGCCAGAGCAGTATAGAATCTCAGTCTCTTGGAGAGTGAGGAAATTCGTAAGATTGGTTGGCATGTATGATTTCCAGACTTCAATCCCAGCTCGCAATTTTTTGCGAAAAGTAAGCAAGGCCTGATACTCACTCCAAATGGAACAAGCTGCTCTAGAAACATTAATTATTAGGTAATGAGTGTGATACCTCTTTGTGATTGCTACATCACATTTCTTTGTGTATAGTTCTTACTGAGAAGTTAAATTTCCTGGGCACAAGCACTTATCATTCCTCCTTCACATTTGCTACATTACTATGTGCAATGCTTTCACAACTGTCTTGGTCTTTTTGAAGGAAAAGGTATTTTCTCCGTCCTTTCTGCATGCCTTCGTGGTGCAACGGTAGCACACTCGGCGCGTATTCGAGAGGTCCATGCTCGAGCGAGGGCATTACTATTTTTTCGTAATTCCTACTTCAAAATTCCTAATGACTCTACAAGCTTGTCAAGTCGGTCGCCATCCATTTAAAAATTTACTAAGTACGTAAAATTATCATTCATTTTTAAGATCTGGACATGCTTACACTAATGTTAATGAATTAGAATTCTAAAAGTAAATTAAAAGTTGCTTATATTTGAGACCTATTTAATGGGGACTATTGCAATGTATTCTTAGCATTCTCTTTAAACGAAAGTCAATTTAAATAATACAATAGTTTAAAAATCAGAGTGATATAAACAGACATTTTCTATTTTACCGTTTTATGAATCTGTTAGAAAGCAAATTTTTAAAATCAAATTACAGCATTCTATATTATCTCAACACATTAAAGTGTCGTCTGAAGTTCGGAAGCATCAGCGAAGAGAAACTGAGGACCGATGGAAAACGGCAAGTTGGCTGAATTAAGGTAATTGTATAAATGTATTATTTAATGTTTAGTTTATAAGAAAAAATGTGGATCTCTCAGAAATCTGCTAAATGATCAATATATGAGATGCATTAAATGTAATATCTTATGAAATTTTCATTTGTAATTTTCATTTGAAACCATCCTTACTTTCTCTATGAATGTGAATAAATGTTCATTATTAAATATTTCGTAAGCTATCATTTGTTTTCTCCATAAAGAAAAAAAAAAAGAAAGAAACAGATAAAGTGAATTAAAACGCAAGCTATTTATTTCAACTCCTCAAATTCTGACATTAAAATTAAAAAGCTAATTTTTAACAGAAATTTTTCTTGAGTACTTAAACTCATAGACTGAGCAATACTATAAGAGTTGGTGGATGTCTAAAGGCTTCAGTCTTCTTTCGAGTCGCCAGTTTAGCACATGTACATGGGATGTACATATGATTTTCGCCAACAACGTAGCAGAAAAATCTTCGCTTTCTAAAACGTTATGTAGTGTACAAAATATCGAGGAAAGAAAAAAAGAAGAAAGAAGAAAATTTCATAATTTTAAAACATGGTGATATGAAACATCACGGTAGAAACACGGAGAAAAAGTAGCGATAAAATTTCACAATTTCACATAAAATTCACACATACGGTGAAAAAAAATAAAACAGCTTCGAAACATCAGATGATGGAAATACAATGCAATAGCTTCTAAAATAGCAATTACAATGAACTGAAGTTCAGATGCTCATGAAATTTAGATATAATAATATGTAAAATGATATAAAATAAGTTTCAAGAAAATTATTTTATTTCTGAAAGCTACACATAGATGAAAATGGTCGTTTTAGAGATTCAATATGAGTTTGCAATACGAATAGCATCTTCAGTATGTCATATGACTACCCAAAACAGCAATACACCATCTTCATGAGTGGTTAACATTATTGAAGACCGTGCATGTGAATTTAGTTGAGAGTGATGTTTATTGCTCTTGCATGGCTTTTCTGTCAAGATCTTGACTACAAAAATTAAAAGCAGGAGCTCCTTTCTCTAAAACAAACATGTTGGATAGATTTAAAAAAGGATGGAGAGAAATAAGCCATTCCATATTCGCGGTATCCTGTTGAAGATATATTTCTACAACACCAGCTTAGTACGTTATCATTCAACTCCAAACGCAGACAGACTCCAAACGCAGTCCTTTGTGTGCTTTAAAATGTTCATATAATCTCCTTTAAGTTAGCCAATGAATTTATCAGGATCCTGTTGAAAAAAATCTGCATGGTTTAAACAGTTGAGCATTATGGCTGGCATGCCAGTAAGAGGACTGAATGCAGGCTCATGTTGCATGGCCTGTTCTTCTTGGTTTATGTTCACATACACAACACTATTATCATTAAAAATAAATTTATTATTAGTAGTAAAAAGAATTTTAGAAGGAACAGTTTTCGAGTGCTTTGCAGTGTTAGTTGTAAGAACAAAACCATCTGGATCCGTGTTTGCAACAGTTGGTAGAATGACTTAATTCAAATAGAAAGAATCTGTGCAAAGAAGCCGTTGGTTTGTACATCATTAATGCCAACCACCACATCTCCGCTCTCAATTATCATTACCGAATTACTTCTGATTTAATATCTCATAATTGCTGTATTATTATTCAGAGGTTAGCATTCTTAACCCAATAAAGAATCATAAATGTTTTCTGTTGCATTTTCTTTCTTTTGCTTCAAAGAAGAAACCAGTTCCTGAGTATCATAAAATGAACAATTATAATGGAATCTCTATTATCATGTAGAATAAATAACTAACTGCCTTATTACTTTAATATTATAATTAGAAAGACGATTTACGGCGTAAGTACTAAATCTCAAATATATATGCATAGAGGACCGGAACTTAGAAGTTTGTGCATAATTTATCTACGAGCGCAATTCTCCGGGATTGTTTTTAGAATAATTGTCTAAATACCATTTTAGAAAGAAAAGTTACACCACGTAAAAACTGCAAAGATTTTGTTTCCATCATAAGAGAAAAATTTAAAAATTTAATTAACAGAGGAGCATTATGAACTACCGCAGCTAGTAAACATATCCTTATTTAAGTTGGGATAGTTTAAAAATTAGGTAAAAGATCAACTATACACTGATGAGCCAACAAATTATGACCATATCCATATTTTCCAATGAACTCATCCGAATGACGTGGAGGACACGTGATTAAGTAGGAACAGTAATTAACTGCTGCTGAAGAATGCAAGGAATCATTCTTGCATTTACATTTGTGAGTGATGGGAAAATCTGCTGATCTAAGCGACTAACTCCTTGGATCTTAACTCAGTAGACCAAATTTGGGATGTCATGGCGCGGCAGCTCAGAGCTCATAGACCACCATGTCGAAATATCTCGATTTTGTGTGACCGTTGCTTAGATATATAGTACAACCTACCTTCAGTCATCTACCAAGAACTCGTGACATCCATGCCTTGGAGAGTTGCAACTGTTTAGCAAGCGAAAGGTCGCACAATGCATTATTGAGTAAGTGGTCATAAAGTTTTGGCTCTTAGGTGTGTATATCACCTGAAATCATGTAAATCCCACAGCCAGACATTTAAGTCACCTGGAAATGAACTATAGAAGAAATACCGCTATTTAGTGGGTTTAGTGGCTCAAACACTGATCAGCATAAAGAAAAAAGATTCGAGTTCCATCTGCATACATGATTTCCTCAAGAGTAATACTTATTTGTGTTTATAAATTACCAAGCTTTGTGGATGAACTTAGTTTAGTATGCAATTAACAAAGCCAGGTGAGTTTATGATGACAAAAAAGAAGAGCGATATTTTTTCAGCCTATAAAATTTCTTTAACATTAATGCCACTCTGAGACACCTTTTTGGATAGTTTGAAAGATGATGCTCTTCACTAAATTTCTTATTTGCTAGTGCAATTTGGATGTTATTCATGACGCTTGTGAAACTTTGGTAGAATGTCATAATGCCAATATTTGCTACAAATTCAGACGCACATTTTTTAATTGAATTTTTTCTGAGTTTTCAGTTGAATACAAATTTTCTCCTATGTTAAACTTAATTTCTGCACATAACTTACAGTAACATGTACAAAAATTGAAAAAATGGAAGCTTTTTTTAAGCCCATTTTTGAACAGAAACCTGTGGCTATCTATAACAAGGAATCCATTCTCATGAGAAACTATTATTTCATCACATAACTATTATACACTTACATGTTACGCATCAGAATATTCAGACAAATATATTCTTGCATTACTGCAGTTAAACTTGTGTTTATTGCAAATAAATGTTCCGTCTAAAATGCTATAAAGAAACACAAATGAATTTAACTTTGTGCATTTAAAAAAAAAAAGGAGTTAGCGACTTTTTAACGAATTAGCAGCTTAGTTTGTTTGAAATAAACTTAGTGCATTTTAAAACAAACGAGATTTCTAATAAATTATCCAGCTTTGACACTGAAGAAAATGATGCTAAAATTTTATGTACTATTTGTTTTCTCTCCAACTTTGTGCATATTTTAAAAATATACAATCTCACATAGCAGTTAGCGGTATAGAAGCATAACAAATTTTGTGTAAATATTGTGAACCTTTCTTTACAGTTGCTCTGTATTTTTAAGGTACCAGCTATTTTGAAATGTGTTTAACTTTTTTATTTGTTTTGCAGTAACAGTATATTTTAGTTAAATTATATATTATTTCGTTAATACTTAAGGCTTCTAGAAACACAAAGAAAGTTTTAAAAGTTACTCCAGCTTCTATGCAATTAGAGATATTCATAATTTGCATTATGACCTTACTTACTTATTAGCAATTATCTAAAAATTGCTAACTTGCTTTACTTTCACAGTTCATAAGCAGAACTAAAAATTTCCAATAACATCGAATTTTAGTATTTCAAGAGTCCGAATCTCGTAACTTAAATCAGAGACATCTGGTGGCAATGAATGCAATTGACCACCGAAAAGCGTAAATCCGTAAGCGTAAATCCAACGCAATAGTGTAACGGTCATGCGTCTGCGTAATGCTTTTCTCCCAATACGGTATGCGTTGGTAACGCACTAATGGAAATGGGGCTTTAGTGGGGAAGAGAAGGTCTGGCTTTTCTCCTGACACAAGCAGTGAGAAGTGAAGACGTGGTCATGTTGATACAGAATCGCGGAGACGCAATTCACAACGTAGAAATTATTGTTTTTAATTTGAAAAGGCAGCGTTTAAAATTATCTGTGTGAAAGATAGCTAGAATTTGGAAGAGACGATGTTACTGCTGTATGCAGTTTACATTGAAGATTTAATAGGTTACTTGCTTAGTTTTAAAATAATAGATAAAAATGCGCTACTTTTTTAACATAAGGGGGTGTAATGGAATCCGCTACCCAAAGCCCCTGTTATAATGCAGAGTTGAAATGAACTTCCAACTCAGATTATGAACAATAACATGAAGTTTAATGAAAAAAATCAGTTGCGGTTCATGGCGATGGGGAACATGGATACATTCAGTCCTGTTATTTCTGAAAATTGTTGCACAGAAATGCGCTCGATTAAGAGCACAACCGAAAATTCATATTTCAGCGCGACAAAAATGTCCATAGACGCAACAAGAAGGTCCAGGAGATGAAGGGGCTCACTTACAAATTACACATCCTGGGCTTCCCGGCCTACATTATAAACATTATTAATTTCTACCTAACAGGTAGACACTTTGTTGTTCACGTCTCTGGCACAAATTCCACAAGCCATGCCATCATGGCTGGCATCCCGCAAGGATCTTTGCTCGGAACTACTCTTTTTAATATTTACGTGAACGACATACCTTCTACACACGACACAGCATTAGCTATGTATGCAGACGACACAGCGGGCCTCGCACAAAGTGCATTTCCAGGTCCAGTTATACAACGTATATACACACGCTAGAGACTTGGCTCTCCAAGTGGAAGATCCTCGTCAGCGTGGAAAAAAAACAACAGCTATTATGTTTACGAAGACCAACTTTAAGAAAACCTGGAATTCTATGGCACTGATTTTCCTTAAGCCAAGCAAGTCCTTTATCTTGGGGTGATCCTCAATAAGTCACTTACATGATCCTCGCACATTACATCAGTTATCCAAAAGTTTCGAGTTCGTAAAGCCAAACTATACCCTTAATTGCTCGAAACAGTATATTATCTATTGACAACAAATTACTCGTTTACAAGTCCATTCTACGTCCACTTTTGTGTTATGCAAGTCTAGTTTGGGCATATACCAAGAAAACTAATAGGAAAAGATTGCAAGTCTGCCAAAATACTGTTCTACGACAAATTGTAAATGCTGAATGATATGTAAGGAATAATAGAATATATGAAGAGTTAGGCATTGAGTTATTGCGCACTCATTATTATAACTTAGCCAAAAAATTTCATGAAAGGCAGCAAAATATTGATAATCCCAGTATTAAAATCCGTGATTGCGACTATAACAGTTTGGA